TCTTATAATCGGTTTTAGATTACTTCAGCACTTTTGGCTCCAAATTCGTGATCACTTGTCATTCAATGTTAATATCAATATTAATCTCCAAATGCCAGATATTCATTTATAATTTACTTTTAAAAGTTGATTCTGGTTCTAAATAAAATCTCAAATCCGAATTCTTAAATAAATTTATTATATAATATTATAAAAATTAGTTAAAAATAGAAAGTATACTTTTTTATTGGTTTTTGTAAGAATGAATTCATTTGAAAAAACAAGTTGTCATCGTGTAACTTTTATAAATTACTAAACTCTTAGTTATGATTTGATAGACATACCCTGTTTGACACCCTATAGTGCGCGCATTATCTGAGAAAATTACAGTATATAATTTTTTTAAAAATTATTAATTCTAATTTAAAATTAAGTGCAAATCAATTACAAATAATAGTCTTCAAAATCTTAAAAACTAAATTAATTCAACCACTAATAACACAAACACAGTCAACACTTATCATTAATAATATTATATTGGTAGAAATGTTAGTTCATTACAACAAACAAATGTAATTTAATTTCACATCAAATTATTTTATAACTAAACTCTTAATTTAAACTGTTAAAAAGTGCTTTTCAGTTGACTAATATAATTGAAACAAATATCACTAAATCAATTTTGTATGAAATTTTTAAAAATTTAATTTCCTTATCTTTTCTACAACTTGTGTTAAGCTTATTCCTAGATATCTCAGATGATTAGTTGTCCTAGTCACTTAAATTCCATTCATTTATACTTGGGTATATATTTATGTTATAATATGGGCGCACTATACGTAGGGTGCGCACTATCTGTGTAAGAAACATACATTTTTGTAAAAAATGAAAGCGCACTATACGGTGGGGGCGCACTATAGGGCGTCAAACAGGGTAAACATAATTAGATTATAAGAATTACCTTTTATTTATAAAATAATTTATGGCATACTCTAGATCTCAACAACCGATTATAGTCAAGGAATTTGTGAGTCATTTACTTATGTTTTGTTATTGAGTTATTTAATAGTATTAGTTATTTAGTAGTATTTAATAGTAAGATAATTATTTAATTATTTCTATTATAAGTTAGTATTTGGTCTACAATTTATCTGTATATTGTATTACAATTTGAGGATTTATGTTTTATTATATGTTTTTGAACTAAATATTTAAACTGTTAAATTTATTAATTATAGATCATATGTCTACTAAAAACTTATATAGTTTTAAACAAAAGTTTAGAAAATATTTAAGTAAAAAATTAGAGTTTTTCTACGACTTTTGGTTATAATAAATAATTTGTATGACACAAACACCACAACTATTTCAGAATCAAATCATCAAAATATGTAATACAATATCAATTTATTATTGGGTATTTTGTTTTTGATTCAAACTAGTAAACAATATAAGTTGGGTCACAACAACTTGACACAATTTGCAAAATATGTTGATAAGAATTTGATTATTTAGTCGAAAAATATTAGTATGTTATTTATATTTAAATTTCAATATTAAATTTTATACCGTACTCATTGAACATTCTCACTATTTGATTATATGTTTAACAAAACTATTAACTAACATATAACTACATGTTTGCAAATATTTTTAATTTTTATCAAAATGAATTAATAATCAAGTTTAAATTTAACATAATTTCCCCAATTTTGCAACTGATTAGAAATAAGTTATGTTACAAATCTTAACTGTTTACAAATTTATATGTTTACAAATCTTAATGCCAATTATAACAGATAACTTAATACAGTAATTATACAAAAATAGCATAATTGAGATTTAATCTCATTATTTAATCAAAACTCGTGAACTTAACTGTAAAAAGTGATAAAAAGTAATGAAATGTTTTGTTGACTAATTGATAACAATATTCTTGTGATGCATTTCTTAACATTTGCAGCAATTCCTTGAATTTACATGTTTTCAATCAATTTTATTAGAAATTTTAATTATAAATATACGGTATGAGGAATATTGTGAATGTATACTGAATTATATGCGGAATATCTAATGTTTTCTATTATTATGAATCGTTATTCACGTTATAAAGTGTTTAGCCATCAGTTTGTCTGAATCGCGCAAAAGCATCGATTTGTTTGCAATGTATGTCAAAAGAGACTTGTTTTCAATGAAACCAATGAATATTTACAACTAAACTATATTTTCAATGTTAGCCTCGTTTAGGACACATAGCACTCACACCTGTATCTCACCTCTTATTTCATCGATTCATCCGAAGATTAGATGGACGACAAGTCACCGAAAACTGATTCCTTATATTCCTCTCAATTGCTGCAAACCCTTGACTACAGTAACGCCGGTATTGTTTGCCATCACTTGATGTGTTATCTCTTAACTATCTGACCATCTCTTCCACGTAATCACATACAGTCACCTCTCCGGCAAAGTTGGCTACAAATCTCGTCTTAAGACCCCTTCAGTCCGATGACTATAATCGAGGATTCCTGGATCTGTTGTCTCAGTTGACAAAAGTCGGAACAATCGATGAAAACAAATTTCAAGGTATTTAACGTGATATCAGATATTTGTCAAAGAGATTATAATCTAATGATTGACTAAATTATGATTCAAAGAGCGTTTCCATCAAATGAAAAGTAATGGCAATTATTACATAACAGTTGTTGAAGATGTGGACACATCTCGTGTGATCTGTTCCGCCACTTTGTTCACTGAATACAAGTTCATCCACAGCGCGGCGATGGTTTGTTTCAGTCATTTACCACTAATTATCTCTCATAACAATAATCACTGACTGTATGGACAGAGAGGTCGTATCGAAGACGTGGTGGTGGACAGTGAATATCGCGGCCAACGTTTGGGTCATTTGATTATCGAAACACTCAAACTGATGGCTCAGTCTCTGGACTGCTATAAACTGACCCTCGATTGCAGGGATGAGATGATTGAGTGGTACACCAAACTCGGCTTCATAGCCATCCCCACCCGGTCTAATATGTTGACCATTAGGTTCACTGATTGACACGTATTATACCATTACTTAACACCAGTTAGACATCAATTAGTATTTATAATAATGTTTGGATTCAAATGAAATCAAAGTTCAAATCTATTTTATAAATAATTTTAATAACTTTTAGATTTTCTGAATGATTGTAATGAATATTTTTACATATTCTCACAATTTGTTATTGAATTTACTTTTTAAACTATGAAAATATATTACAATTTCAAACAACTAATGACTAAATTATTTATAAATAAAAAAATGAATGATTATGTGGTGCCGGGGCTGTGGTGTGGGTTCTCCTTATGCCAGTACTTCTCGTAAGCGGTCTCATCAGTCCAGGCGTCGTCTTGCATGGCTCCCACGTAATCGATCTCAAGACTGAAGGGTCCGGTGTTTTGGTCGGCCAATAGAAAGCCGATCTGTGAGACCGAGTTCTTGGGCAAAGAGTCCTGTTTTTCCTGAGCGTAACCCCTGTTTTGCAGATAAAACCTCGAGAAAGGGATCTGAAAAGAGTGGTTCGCAATCAGAATCAACGCCAATAGCCATGAGATGATCGACACCTACTTTACACCACTGCCAATACGGGCCCCCATGAGTGTACAGCACATACTGGTACCGATCAAACCAAGTGATGTCCATATTATCGTCCGATACGTTCAGTATAATAAACCAATTCCTGCCGTCGCCCCTACACCTGACCAGTAGGTGTGTGAATGAGTCCCAATTGAAGTAGTGTTGCCTATAGAAGGATCGCCTGTGCTTTTCGCACCCGACAAACGCAAAGCCCGCCCGAGCTATCTGTCCATCGAGTGGCAGCTTTGTGTCCAAATAGCCGCTGAACTGCGCCCGACCTGTCGGTGAGACCGTCCAATCGCATCGCGAGTAACCTAAACGTACAGATCTCGTGAGTAAAGAGCGTGTCATCGATGGTGTCATCGATGGTGTCATCGATGGTGTGTCAGTGCATCCCAACCCTCATTGTAGTCGGAATCGCAAGCCGTGCGCCACCTCTTCATGTCATTCATCTCTATCCCTCTTTGGTCTCTGTTATGATAGGAGGAGATGAGGCCGTTGTTCCTCTGGTCGAAGTCCCACAGTTTCACCACTTCTTTGTTCTCGAAGGTATCCCAAGAGCTGTCCAAACCATACCAATCGCGCATCTCTTGTGTCCACATTTTGCACTCATCTCTCAATGCCCTGAAACCAGTGGTCATTCTCTCCCACTCGGGAATGGCCTCCCATTTGGCTTCACGGATGTCCTCATACTTGCGGCCACCGCTCCTGAAGGGCTCGTGAAATGCCAAATGTCTGCGAGGATGCCATGTCTGAGCACCACTCCTGAGCCGCACAAGAAGTCGGGAAACAATTTGTTTGCAAAACATTTGCTTTCAATTCAATTTACAGTCACATTGGGTTCACGAGTAGACAACGTCTCACAACACATGTCTCAATTGCCCCCCTTTTCCCCCCTTTTGCTTGAAGTCAAGCGTTGAACCTCTCGTTCACTACAACACTCACTGATTATATGTACGTTATTATTGTACAATATATTATACCAGACATCTATTGGCAGTGCATTTAAGTTTAATAAAAACTTATTAAAAATAGCTGTGAACTTACCATAAGGTTAGCTGATTGTTAGATAACATGACAATCCAGGTCATTCCTATCATTAGTTATATGACAATACAATAGACGGAAATATTTTTTCCGCAATAACTCAACACTTTTTATGTCAAATACTTAACGCATGAAATTGATTATAATAAAAATTTCACTTTTAAATGAGTTTTATTTAATAGGAAATTATGTTTAGGATAATGTTATCAAAGGGTAGAGAAATAAATTGAGAAAAAGTTTTGTTTCAATCGTAAAATGAGTGAAATTGCTTTTTATTATTACAGTAATGTTTATTTCCAAATGAAAATTATTGCTTTCAATTTAGAAAAAGTTTTTCTAAAAAAGTTTTTGACACTTCGACACAAACTCTCGTAAATTGTCTTAAATTTATTAAAGATATAAAACTTATATTTTATAAACACATATATTTAAAATTGCATTTAAATTCTATAAATAGTATAAAATATGAAAACAAAATAATAATAAATAAACGAAATGGCAGTGAATAAGAGCTGGTCCTAAGTTGGCCATCACCGGACTGACAGCCAGTACTTCGTCCGATCGTTGAAATAAACTATTTTTATAATCATTTTGGAAATTATTGTCAACTTTTTTATTCTCCAAATCGTTGCTAATCTCTGTAATCAATTGGAACTCCTTTTTATGACTGTTTTCCTGCAAATTGTTTTCCAGATTCTCTTCGACCGCCTCGTCCTCGTCGATGTCGTCGGTGTCATCGCTGACATCAACCACTTCTGGCTGGAAGTATGGCTGAGAGTACTCTCTGAGCTCTCTTTCGTTCATTTTAAAGAAATCTCTGTTTATTTTGAGTGAATCGCTGAGTGATCCGTGAAGAAAGGCCCGGTCCTGGAGTACAGCCATAGAGAGAGAGAGAGAGAGAGAGAGAGAGAGAAAACAAGACATGTCTTTCATTATCAGCTACTTGTCAAATATGTTGTTTGCTATAAAAATAGTAGTATTTTAATCACTCGATTACATACCCAACCCATTGGCAAAGAGTTCATTAGCGAGACATTGACTTTCCAAATGCGATACTTATTATTATTGAAGAACATATGAAAGCTATGAGTCCTGTAGTCATAATAAGTGGCAGTAATTGTCTCATTGATTGCCATCCATTTGTTGATATCATAAGTGAAGCGGAGTTCCATTTTGTAGGGATCTATTACTGTCATCTTTTTGCCTGTTAATGCAATTTTCACATTAATCTCTGTCTCGACTGTCATTTGGTTGTGAAATATTCATAGCAATACACGCCTTGAAAGAAGACCCAAAAGCCCTCGTCCTTGTCTTTGGACCTATTCCTCCAGGTGGCCGAATCGATGGGCACAGACAGGTCCAGGTCTTTGAGCGCTGAATACCACTTCTTATTGACCGGCAAATGACAGAATGTGTTTCGGGTGTCAAACTGCCCGTCAAATTCTTGGCACGCAATCCGTAAGCCTTTTCGCGACGACTAATGAGTTTTTATATGTAATGATTCATTACTAATGAATATTTTATGACTTTTTTCATAAATCGATTCAAATATTACTGTAATTATTATTAATATATAGCTCTACTCACGTGAGAGATAAGATATATTTTGGGATCCACTTCGTTGATTGGATCCGTGAATATAGCGTCGATTGTTTTAAACTTTGGGAACAGTTGTGACACTTGGCCGACAACATTGTATGGCCTGGGTGTTTGTCGCTCGTTTAGCACCCAATAGTAACCATTACTTACGACTAGGAAAGTGTTGTTCGGGAGTCGTGTGATGGCATCGATTCTTCCGGAATTATACCGAAAATCTGTGATTCCGTTATTCACTGATCTCTTAATGGGTTGATTGCCTTCGGATGACAAGACAGACAGAAAGCAAATCATGAAATACAGAAACCATTTGTCGGAATTCATGTTCAGAAACCATTTGTTGGAATTCATGTTCACATTCTTTATTTGGAGAATAACTGTTTGTCACACAATATGAAAGTTATTGTAAATTGCATTCAAAGCATGTGTGCACTTAATGTGCGGTTTTATCGTAAAAATTATTATTTTAATATTTAATACACAAAAGCATATATAATACGGAAGTAGTGTTACGTATATAACAAGGTTTTGGCAGTACTCGCATCGATTGGTGCCGTTTGTCTGATGTGTCTGTTTCTCCACAACGAGAATATCACACCAATCGATAAATATTACTCCAAATTCACAATTAATGCATTTAATTGAAACAAGAAAAAGTAATTTTTCAGTGGAAAAGTCCACTTATTTATCCCCGAAAGCGAATCCAATAAATAAAGTGATTACAAAAACAGTTGATTACAAGAAAAAAGTCGATTATAAAAGTCGATGAGAAAAGTTAAGATTAAGTGCCAATGACTTCAAACATCACTT